ATGTGCAGTTCTCTAGAGCAGAAATTGCTATTGCACGTAATGAAGCTTAAAAATAATAATTAAAATAAAAGCTACCAACAACTTTTTCTTGTTCTTACCCCCAAAATGTCTGGTCTTACCTGGCTGTAGATCACTCTCCATGGAGGTTTGGTGAGAAAGTTACAGAGGAATAATGAGTAGGTCAAAATGGCCACCCAGCATAGCTGGGCTGTATGTGCTGTTGCTTGTTTCCTCTGAGAACACTGCTGTGCTGCAGTGGGCTGCAGATCCTTCCTGGTCTTCCTCAGCTCCCCCCATGGCAAGTGCACAACTGCTAGAGGACTGCCTTGGCTGTGGGCAGGCAGGAAAAGGCATCTCATCCAGGCCTGCAAAGCCTCTCCTGTGTTGCTGACACGGGATAGCCCAGAAACCCTTCATGTCATTTCTTTTCTCATGCTTTTGAACTACTATAGGAGCCTAATACGTGCACCAGCTGGAAATATCTCTAAAAAAGTCCTTTTCTCTTTGTTGAATTTGGCTTGTCGTGGTGACATGTATTGATGCTATAGTTGGACTTCTTTCTAACACGTAGCATGTCTTCCTCCCACACACAGGAAGCAAAAAGCTCCCCGTCAGTTGACCCCACGTGCAGTGGACTCATAGCACCTCAAGTTGCAGAGTGATACCTGTAAATAGAAGAGTTTAAGCAGAGCCGCGGGCAAGGCTTGGTATTGTGGGCAGGTTAAGTGTGATAGGATTGGAAGTAGATTCCTGCTGTTCTGTTCTTGAGTAGCTCAGTGTCAGCACAACAGTGTTACTGGATCTCAGAGACAAGCAACATGCTCCACAAGTTTAACCTGCTCTGACACACAGCAAGTACAGGTGGAAGTTTGCTGTGGCAGTGGCTCTTAGCACCATGTATGTGTGTGTATGTACATGTAAGGGAGGTGCAATACAACAGTGACAAGTAATTTAACACACAGGGTAAAGGACACCGCTAAAAAAGTTAATTTATCTGGAAAGAAGTTTAATTCTGATTTAGTCAATTCACTAGATTTGAATCACGAGAGGTGATAAGAGCTTATTCATGTAGGTATATTTTGCTTGTTTTACTAGCAGAATTGTAGCAGGATGGCTAAAAACATTTCATCCACAGACTTAGTTGTTCCAGTATAATAGTGACTAATTTAATATATCTCAAATGACAAAGGTAAATGAAGAATTGTATTTTGACTCCAGGAGTCACAATGGAATATCTCTACCCAATGAGTCTTGCTGTTTTATTCTGGTGTAACTTTTCTGGATGGCACAGATAGAAGTAATGGAATTGCCTTGATTAAATGATAACACTGAGAAGAGCAGCATGCAACCGTTGGTCTGGGGTTGTAACCTCAGCTACAGGTTCTACTCCTGCTTTTGAAGGAACCATCATTTAGTCCATCAGTGTGTTCATTTGCCCTTTTCTAACAGCTAAGATAACCTCTTTTTTCAACTGTCCCAGGGCGCTGCCAAGTTTTAGTCATTAAACTTCAGATCTATGAATAGAAGATACTATTAACATTACAATTTGCTTGTATTATCTCTATTACTGTAGCGGTTCTTCAGCAAACACAATTCTTTCTAATCACTATCCTAAAGAAATCACATTTCACAGAGAAAAAAGCATATGTAGTAGTTAGAAGCAGAGCTGCTATTAAACATCAGGCTGCTGGTAATTTTCTGCTGGCATCTCAGAGGGATCCCCTTCTTTTGCTGACTGTGAGTGGGAACAGTAACAAAGAGCGACTGTGACAGGAACAGGCTTTGAATGGCTCCTACACCATCCCATTTGAAGGACAACCAGACCCACAGGCAGCAGATTTTGAAATAATAGAGAAGTGGTTCCCCATGGAAATGTGTCTTTGGAGAAGATCAAGCACGGTCTGCAGGTTGGTGGATTCTCAGATGTCTGATAAGGCTTGCATGTGAGTGGTGTGTTTGCTCTCAGTGGAGGCACTAATGGAGTGGTAGCCTTGCTCTCTTGCTTAGCTGTGCAGAGACCTCCTGAATCACGACTCAGATGGGGAAGCAATAAAGCCAAGGTTTCACCCTGCATGCCACTGTGGAGAAAAGACTTTCATTTCAGCCTGAGGATAATTTGGAGAGATCTGTGGCCACTTCAAATTCTCCTTGACTCACAATGGAATAGCTTCATGGTCTTCTGTGTGGTCCCTTATCATTTATACTAATAGAAAGAAGAGATGAATCAGACCCCACGTGCTTTGCTGACTGGGAGGAGACAAAATTAAACACAATGTTAGCATTGCCTCTTCCTTCCTATCCCCATTTCCCTGTGGTTATCCTGTTAAGCTATTCTGAGTACCTCCTTCTCTTCAACTCTGGCTCTCACTTATTTTATAGTCTTTGTGTTACTTCTTTTTTAATAGTCCAGATACCATTGTGAAGGACCTATTAGAAACACCTGGGCTTGATAGCTGTATCATTTGAACTTATCAGGGCTTCTATTTAATCTCTGCTCACAGTATGTCATGATGAAGAATAATGTGGGAGAAAATGATATGGCTCTTATTCAGTAGTATCAATCTCTTCTTCGATTCTTTTATCTATTATGGAATGAAACAAGAATAACAGGGTTTAGATTTTGTCTCTCCTGATTGCTTAATTTATTTTATAATTGTGTATTTGTTACATCGTTTTGGCAGGTATATCTGTGGGAGAAACTGTGACCTAGTTCTTGTCCACAAGGGTAGAATATTAAATATTCTTACTAATGCACTTCCTTTGTCATGGGATTTTCTGTTCTTACAATTCACTTTATTGTCTGTTAAGTTCTTTGTGAATGAGATGGCATTAACTGGTTCATGGTCAGCAGGTATGTGCGGAATTGTGAGCAGTGTGATGCAGTTCATTGTAAAGCAGATTTCAGAGGTGTTCTGTCTTATGGCCACATTTGTTCCTCAAGTATTTTTAATCACATGGGAGAGGAAAATGACTTTGTAAGGCATGTTAGAATAATGAGTTCTATGCACATTAGGAGTTATATAGCTGCTTTTGTTTGCTTTTAATGCGAGCCCCACATTTCAGATGTCCAAAGTTGTCCCCCTGACACTGACAAATCATTAGAGTAATGGCTATTCAACATTTTAGATGTATTGTCATTTCCATTTCTCACAATGCTAAGCAACTTTTTCGCATTTACCAAATAGTATAAATAAATTTGCCTTCCTGGGTTTGAACAGGTGAAAATTTCCAGGTATGGCAATGGAAGACAAGTAAATGATGGAGAGAATGCTGTGTCTCTGACAGTGCCTCACATGTCACTAAATAATATGCAAAATCCTATATTGCTGCACTAGTGGGTGTGTATGTTTGGGGAGGTAGGGAATTGGAGAAAATGGGACAAATCCTCAAATAGATGTTATTTACTTGTAAATCAAAATGTGCTCTGACGGGAGTGGGGTCCACAAGCCCAGTGCTTAGTCATGCTGTGTTCCCTTAGCTTGTCTGCCTCTGTGGTGGTTTGCTTTGGCTTGTTTTGTTTGTTTGTTTGTTTGTTTCCTCTCTCTTTTTTTTCTTTCTTGTTTATCCCTCTCACAGAAACAGCCACTGAAAACTTGTTTTTCCTTCACATGCATAGCATGTGCCCATGTTGAAGGAGGAGGTGCCTTTGTTTCTGATACCTTCTTCCAGAAATTAGGCAGACTGCGGTGGTTTTTTGTTTGTCTGTTTGAATGCTTTTCTTCTACATATTGGACAGCTGTTAAACTCATCAGATTTCAAAAAGATTTAGTATGGTTCATTACAGCAGTAAGTAATTACTCATTAATTGTGGCAATAAGTGAAACTGATCACAAGCATGCTTAAAGAGAGTATGTTGTTAACGTAGGAGATCTGGAAATTCAAAAAACATCACCTTATTCTGCTTCTCTCCCTGGTTTTATGGATAGCAGGGTAGTTTCCATCCTCATCTGTACCCTCCACTGATCTCTGCTTATTTTTCTGTTAATGGTGGTTATTTCCATTGTTTGCTGGTGTCCTCTGTCAGTGCTGCCACTTGGTTTTCCTACTGTGCCCAGGTGGTAACACCAAGGGGTGTTTTGGGCTGCTATGTGTGATAAGGTGATCCCTGCAGAATTCATTTCATACTCTCTGTTTATACGTGTTACATGGTAGTTGTTGGAAACATTTGAAATAAGTTAATCTTTACGGTCTGTTTCATTGTTTTTATGAGGTACAGTCTCTGTTCGGAGAAAAAGAAAGATCAAGAAACTAAATTTGAACTGGGTCTTTGAGGTTCAGAAAGCAGCATAAAATGTCACCAATGTTACAACCCACTTCCCCTCACACCCCTGTTTTTGCAAAACAGCTCTTCTGCACTGTGCAATGAATGCCTGCCTCTAACCCCAAACATGGCCTTTTCTGTTTGGTGTCTGTCTTGAACCAGACACTATCCAGATGTGGACTATCACAGTTTCAGCAAGCTGTAAAACAAAAGAAAAGGAAAAAAATTCTGTGGAAGTGGAAAAGTTTTGCTGGTCGTATTAAACTCACTGTCAACACTTAACAATATCAGACTGCAGCTCTGGATAAAACTTTTCCTCTTGGTTTGGATGGGCTGTACAAAAAAAAAAAAAAAAGAGTGTGAAGATGTGGTTTTGTCCCCCAGTGACAGCTGTGATCGCTGAAACACTGAAAACTGAAGTGGCTTGTCCAGAGTTTGTGTTGGGAACAGAATGCTACGTGGTTTGACTTCATAAATATTACCATGTCTTCAGAATATTTTTCCCAAGCAGGGGGTGTTTGCTGTGTTGTTGGTGTATTTGTTGCCATTTTGCTTGCTTTAAATAAGCATAAATTAAGGTTGGGGTAAAATCCTGATCGTGCCAACACACGTGAGTTCTTTTGTCATTGACTGCAGGAGGCTGAAATCTCACTGTTTACTCCTGTGCACACGTCACTGATGTTCAAACTAGGCAGAAGATGGTTTATTGTTTGAAGGAACCATGTGGCCTATCTTGCAGGTTTTATTTTTCAAGGCAGTGATCTTAACCAGACCCGCAGTCACAGCACTGATGCTGCGCAGGAGGAAACCTAGTAGTACAGCACTTGGCAGTTCACAAGGTAATTTGGCATGTTTGTTTAACACTGCAGTCACTGTGTTTGTGGAATTAGTGGATTTTTTTTTCCTATTTAGTTTCTTTGTTTTTATTGTCTTGGTGATGGGTTTGGGGCTGAGTAGGTAGGTTGGCCTCAGTATTTCCTTTACTGTTTACACCTGTTACGTAAATCCTTGGCATTGAGCTATTTTTCTCAACTGCAGAGACATGTTGGTGTGGAATTCACTTGCAAGGAGTGTAATGGCAGTAAAAGGACTCTGTCCACTGGAAACACTACCCAGGCAAGGGCCTGCTAAACACCACAGGGTGATAAGAACAGGGCTTGTGGCCACAGCAGTCGCTGCCACCGATCCCTCTGTATTTCTGATACTGGTGTTGCAAAGGAAAGGTGTTAAGATATCTGTTCATTTGTTTATCTAATAACACTCGAATCTAAGATTTGGGAGTATGTGAATCGGGCAAATGAGCGGGTCCCTATTCTGCAGGCCCTCAAAGCTTTCTTTTTTGTCTTGATATCTGCCATGCTATGCATCTCCTTAAGAGCAGTGCCTCAAAAGATGAACTGCAGAAATATTTCTGGACTGAAGTTCTTAAAATCTCTCTCCTGTACCTTGGTATGCAGCAACAAGCAAGTTTTTGACTAATTGGGTTTTTATCTTTTTTCTTTTTTTTTTTTTTTTTTTTTTTTTTTACGTTAATTACAGGCCATAGCCTGTGTATCCTGTAATGGATGGGAACTGTCCTACACATCGTGCTTTATGGAGATACAATGGGATGAGGAGAGGTGAGACATTCACAATCAGGTTTCTTTTTGCCCATCAGTAGCACCCCAGGGGCAACAATGCCAGTTGTGGCAGCTTTAGTTGTAATCCCGTTGGGTGTAAGGGAGAGAAGAGATCTGGAGAGAAAGCTTAAATGTCTCTTCTCTTATGTTCTTGCATAAATTGTGTCATACACAGTCTCTGATAAACTTGAAGATCTCTAAGCAAGCCCAGAGCCAGAAATCTAGTCATACTGAACACCTGTAGCTCACAGACAACAGTGATGGACATTGCTTGATGAGATAGAGTGAATAAAGATCCCAGACTCAGCCCTGAGACTGCAGCATGTTCCAACCAGGGATGCTTCAACCAGAGCTGCTCTTGATAGAGAAGTGGAAAGGCTCTGTATACCTGAGGTGGGAGATGACATGAGGTTTTTGCTTTGTGCAGTGTATTTAAATAACTTCTGCCTTGCCTATTAGAGAACCTAAAATACTAAGGCTTCTAACAGTTCATTTTGAATGACGAGATCTGGCCCATCCAAAAGACATTTGCTCACACTTGGAAATATTTTGCAATCCCCTTAGCTTAAAAGGATAGAGGTTTAGTTATCCTCCCATAAAAGGGTATGCAAGGGTACAGCCAACATCTTCGCCACTGAGGTCCCTCTCCTGGGAAGGGCTGCTGTCACCGGTGTCCTGACTGCCGGAGCACTGAGGCTGAGCATGCAGTACCTCTGCTCTCTGGTTTTGCAAAGCAGTAGAAATCCTCCTTCTCCCTTGCAAGTCAGACACAGCACACACCAAAAGCCATTTTGTTCCTGGTACTGTTTAACAGAGGTCAGACCAGGGTCAGTTAAGGTTGTGTCTGCAATTTCAGTGCTGAAGACTTTTGGAATTGCTTCAGCGATGATGTGATTGATGCTTCTATGGCAGGGTGGTGGCAAGGGATTTACAGTGTTTATCTGGTGTCTGGAGATGGATTCAGCAGGGCTGGTCTATCCAGATCTGAAGAACATTTCAGAAGTGTAGGTGGAGGCTTTCAGGTCCCACTGTTCAGTTCAGAATGGCTGTTCTGGGTGTACTCTTCCAAAAAGGTTTATAAATGCCTAAACAGCACTACCGATGCAGAATAGTGCCCAGATCAGGTACAAGTAGATCATTTGCAATCTGACCCTCTGGCCACTGTCATGCTTTCTCTCACGGAAATGTTATTTATTTTGTTTATTGATTTGATTGCATGTGCAGTGGTACAACCTGTATTCTTCAAGCTGGGTCTCTTTGGGCTGGCATACCTGCCAGTCAGATCTCAAAGATGCTGGCCATTAGCTCTGTGCAGAGCCCCACACATTTCAATGTACAACAAAGTAAGATCTGATGTGATAACTTCAGATGGGATTTCATCCCTGCAAGCTTTTTGACATGTTTTATAAGTATTTTAATGCACTTACTATAGAAAAGCATGGGTTGAAGCATGAGGTGGTGAACAATTGAAAATCTGTACCATTGTCCTCCTGAGTCACCTACTCCACTGGTCTGACCTTTGGAGACTGGGGCTGATTCCTTCATCAGGAGATACAGTGAAAGAAGGGCTTGTCCACAGATGGCATCTTGCTGCATTTTCAGGCAGTCTAGGACATACCTCTGTGCTTTGTCATGGTCTCTTGGTAATGAAGCTCAATGGACAAGAACGTCATTTAGTGTTGTTGTCCCTGTACTCTGTTTTCCTTTGCTATTATTTCAGCTCACCAAGGTCTTCTTCACTTCCTGCCACAGGCTGCTGTGTCAGTGTCTAGCCATTGTTCAGCACATATCAGAGCCAGGTGGGATGATTCCTGGGTAGACTATGGGATTTCTTTGAGAGAAGGCATAATTTATATCCAAGATATAATTGTTCTTTGATATCTATGCTGTTATAGCCACTTTCTTTTTCATCTTTCTTTTTTTTATGTGCTGCCCTTCTGTACAATTGCCCTTGACTAATTGGCTGTGACAGGCGAGATGAAGTCTAGGAAGACACTGTAGTTTTGAAATGAATGTGCTTAGCTTGAAATTGGACATACTGGAATGATCTGGATCTTAGTTATTCTCGTGCTGTAGAGAAGTTCATAGGATTTTATTCTATTTTTTTTTTTTTGTGGAGTCTGATTGCTCGTTTTTCAGTATATTGTCTGGTCTTTGAAGGATTCAACTGTTGTAGATTTTAAGCAAAGTTAATGCACCTTTTGTTTAATGTTACAGAAATGGAAGAAACTGATTGCCTTGAATTGTTTCTTTCAAACCAGAACCAGGGTGGTTTTCTCCAAAAGGCTAAAATATCATGAGATTCAAGTTGCAATAAAATGAGAATGGGAGAAGTGGGAGGATTTAGCCATACCCTAGATACTGTTTAATTCAAAGCCACAGAGGAATAAAGCAAGCCTTTCCAGGCTTCATGAGGAATTTAATTGGCCCCGTTTGTAGATAATAGATACATAAATTATATTAAAATCTTTTCTTACACTGAAAAAATGAACTCATGTTGTGATATCCTCTAATGCTGTATTTTAATCAAATTTTATGATATTTCACATGTAAATTAACATTTTATAATGAATATCTCACTTCCAAGGAGAAAAAAATACCTTGAATTCAGATAAATTTTAGTGATTTAGTCTTGAAAATGTATTATGCAGAAATCAATTAGGATCACCCACAATTTTAGACGCTGTAATTCCTTCCTTTGCTTTTGTTTTGTTTTGTTTTTAAAGGGTAAGCATGTTTGATGAGTTCAGACACCAGAACAAAAGACTTTCTGCTAGTCTTTAGTTAGGAGAAATCACCAGCGCTGCTTTTGATTCTGTTTTTAATAAACACAAATGGTGATGACAGCTTTGTTTGGTTTTCAAGTTGCTTCTCTGTTGCTGGTGCTCTGCTGCCTGGCTGCAGCCTGCGGAGCGTTCCATGCGTCGGAGGGGCTGCAGCCCCCACACCCAGCCCTGCCTGCAGTGCAGTGAGCTCAGGCACTCCTGTGGCCCTCTAGCATTTGCATTAGTGCTTTGCATAACCTTGGGCATGCCAGCGATATGCTGTGCTGAGAAACGGTCTCTTGCCTGCTTGCTTACTTGTTTTAAAATTTGTATTTATTTTATTTTATTTTTTCCTTTTCTCTCTCAAAGGGATTGCATCATCTGCCTGTATTTCACAGCTTGTGCAGCAGGGGAAAGGAATGGAATAAATCAACATGTTGCTTTTATCAAATAAACCTTTGTGATGTGGCCTGGTCAGAAGAATTTTATATCCCCTTTATCTAAGCCGTCTGTAAAGAATGTCTCATCCCCTTTTTCCTCTCAAGGATTTTTTTTTAAGGCATTCCAAATCACTTTATCAGAATGAGTGATAAAGGAAGAAGCTGTTTTCAACAGTTTGCAAGACTTAGAGCTCCCCGTCTCAAAGCTGAGAGTATCTAACATCTTACATGAAGTAATTTGAAAGCCTCCTCAATCTGAAATTGCAGCAGGGCCTCTCTTTCTTCTGTGAATGCTGTCCCAAACACAGCCTTTCTTCCTGTTCTGCAATGTGGACTCAGAGAAGGGAGAAATTCTGCCCCAGTGCTACTCAGAGCTGAGGGGGTGAGAGGGGTGTAAGAAGCTATTTGTGGTAGCAAGGGCAGCTGTTTGAGAAAAATCTAGGGGCTGGAGGTCAGGTTTTAGCAGGCAAAAGTATTTTCAGCTCTTCTGATGTCATTAAGCATGGAGCAGTGACTACTTTTTCAGATTTCACCAAGGATTGCCTCATCCTACTCATATCTTACTGCTGTTTTTCAGTATTTCCTTAAAATGTGGTTGGATTTTTTTTCTTCCAGGAAGAAAATGTACAGTAAAAAGGAAAGTTCTGCTTGACTTTTGAGACTGCCCTGACTGCTGTCAGGATACATACTGTATATTAAATGCAGTTAGATCCTTTTGATCCCTTTTTAGTGAAATCTCTCATTGGCTTTCCAGATGACAAGATCAGGGATAAGGTTTGTTGTTGCTGGGTTTTGTTCCCCCTTTAGGCAGACTGATGCATATTAGCTAAAGATCCTAAATCAAAAAGCAAAAAACTCCTGTCAATCCTTTAAGCTTGAAAATGCATTCAGATATTGGAGGATGAGTAGGTATGGAATTGTTTAATCTCTCAGAGCTGCTTCTGGATCAAACAGTTCCTTCTACAGACCTTACAAGAGGCTGTATTTTAAAGAGAGTTTGCTGTAGTGCTTCTGCCCTCACCCAGATCACTGCTGAAGCTAAGTGGGGGTTAAAGTGGGGGGACCTATGGAAGGTCACATCCATGGCAAAGGGGAATGAAACCACTGTCTGCCACGAGACAGATACCCGTTGTTGCTGCTAAGTGCTAGATGGCTGTCTGCTGTGCTGCTGGGCAGTAATGGAAGGAACCCGGCTATGCAAATGGTCAGCATCTTTTTTTTTTTTCTCTTCATTATAGCCCAGGAGATCTTAAAGGGCAATGAAAATTGAACTGCACTTATGACTGAGAAAAAATGGGATTAGAAAAAGCTTCTGTGGAAATCCCTTTCTTTGAGTGGTTCTAGGTACTGAAGGATTCAACTCTGAGTTGCTCATATTCTTGTCAACGTTTGATAACCCATTAACATCTGCAGGCTGAGGTTTGGAAGTCTCTGTTCTGGTTTTGGTTTTGATTTACTAAGGAAATTGCTTTGTGTTGTAATTGGAATCTCACGTTTGAAGTGTTTCTTAAAAACACAGTTCTATGTAGGGTTAATATTTATAATTTGCTTAAAAGTCCTTACATGTGTTATTAAATAAGAGCTTTAAAAGATTAAAGCCAACAGTTTCACACAGTGAATTTAATTGTAGCTTTTGTGGCTTTTTTTCAGTTTTGCTTTTGTACTTCACAGCCTGGCTAACAAGAATTAGGTATATTTTTCTTTTCTGATAAGCAATTGCATGTTGCTTGTTTGGGACACAATTTTTTTTGCTTTAGAAGTTGACTTGCCATTTTTTGCAGGAGTAATCTTTTCACCTTCCTCTACCTTGTTGCAAACTATGTTTCAGGGGCCAATTTAACTTGACAGTGTTATTTTAGATGTAGGCTTTGTTAAATATCTACAAGCAAATTAAAGTCATTCATGTAAGTGAGACGTTTTCTTGAGAATTTGGCTTTCAGTACCAGAGATGCAGGAAAAGAGCACCAGAGGTTTTACTGTGTTGGAAGAACACTGAAGTGCCAGCAAAGAGGAAGATACCTTCACATAAAATAATAATGCTAGCAAAAAAAAATACTTGCAGCAGTATCCTTTGGATTTGGTTCACTTTGCTAAGAAGGGAAGTGTTTACTTGAGAAAGCATCTGGATTTTATTGTTTTCTAATTCATTGTGGACAGCCTGATGGAGTCTGGAACCAGTTAGAATGTCACAACCTTTCATTGTCATATGCAATGTGGAAACGAAATAAAGAGAGATCCAACTTGCAGACTGTGTTGCCTGACCTCCTAAGTTTGTTATGCTCTTCCTTCAAAAAAAAAAAAAAAATCCCTCTTGGAACAAATACAAATGTATAGTGATGGCCCTTGAAATGCTTCTTTGTTCCTCTGAACAATCCTGAGTAAGCTTTGGTCAGGTTTCTCTGGACAAGAGAAATGTGACCAAACCTGGATAAAAGAAGATTCAGTAGAACCCAGGATGCCCAGTGTTCCTGTTCTTGTGAAGGCAAGCAAGAAGATAAACATCTATGGATCATCTGAGACTGTGTTCACACTGTTTTTTTCCACCTGGTTCTGGTCATTTCTGCCTACTCTGAGAAATGATGCCCCATTAAGTTTACTCATCTGCATGATTGGCCCAGGTTTGCAGGTTTTAATTATTTAAATTAAGCTTTATCATTTTTTAAATCTGATTTTTTTTTTTTTTTTTATATATATTTCCACAAAATGAACCTTCCTGTTTCTAGTGACTCATTTATGAGAAAATGAGATTAATATAGACAAGCTGATCAATCTGGAATTGGCTGAATCCAATAATGACTTTTTAAAAAATTTCTTGTTTGTTGTTTTAAAGGTGATTTGCCTGTGTACTTGAATAGGGTGAACAGATAATGTGTTTCCAAAGGAGATACTTTCATTCTCACTCTTCCTCTGCAGCCTATGAGGTTACATCAGAAAATAATTTGGACAAGTGCATCCGTTCTGTCCTTTTGTTTAATAAATATCTGCAAAAGAATTTGGTATTGCTTTTCTCCTCATGTTCCCATTCTTTCCCCTCTCTGTTTGTTTTTCAAATAACACTTCTTTGTATCAATTTGTTGCTAGAACTGGTTTTCTTGTCTGCAGTTGTACTTTCTGATGGCAAACCCTCTGCAGTATTAGTGCACAAAAATCTTTGTTGTGAAACAGCTATGTTGTATGTTTATGTGTATATAGCAACCCGAATGGCCCTAAGCCACAAAAGCATAAAAATCAAAAGCTGGTGTACATGCAGCATTGCTGACATGGGACCAAAGAAAAGGAAGAATCTGGAAAATGAAGGCAGTGCATACCTTCCACCCACATGTCCAGCCTGTACCATTACTGCAAAGCCTGTGCATTTAATTAGTTGAGAGTTTGCCCTTCTGTACTCTCTTCCCCAGCTCCTCTTTCCCCATGCAGAACAAAGGCAGTGGTGCATGTTGGCTGCAGTATTTACTTGTGGCAGACAGGGATGGTGTGGAGGAGCAATGAGTAATTGGGTGCTGCTGTTGGGCAGAACTGAGGCTGGAACTCAAGGTCTGTGATTTGTGATGCTTGTGTTCTTGCTAATCCTCCTTCCCCAAGAGGGCGTATTAGTAAGTGCTCATGGTTAGGTGCCCACACCAGTAGTGCTGGAGGCCTGGTGACTGTTCAATGTATGGCAGTTTCCTGGTTTTACTGAAATGCAGGCCAATGAAGAGGGTTCAGCTGGGCAGAGGTTTCTCATTGGCAGGAGCAGAGGTGGGCTGGGAGCTTGGTCGCCCTGGTTAGCATGGTCTAGGGACTGAGACCTTGATGTGACAGCACAATGCCCTTCCTTCCAGCCTCTCTGCAGCTGGGCCTGGGGCAGGATCTGTTCCAAGTTAAGTTTGGGGGTGGGGATAGAGCAGAATTACAAATAAAAGTGCAGACGAATCTGCCTTTATTAGAAAATAATTGGACCGTGGAAAAGAACATATTTGAATTATGACAGAAAACTGCTTGTAAGTACAACTTTCCTATGAAGCCCTCACTGTAGAAAGTCTGCTCTGTTGAGATCAATGCGGTTTCTGCCTTTCTGTGAGGTTTTTCATGGAGGAAGATGAAAGACACACTCTAGTTCCAATTTTTGCTGAAGGGAGAGGAGACAAGAAAGTGTGAGGCTGGTGAGCAGTGAAGTATAATCTTCCAAAGGAAGCTCCGGTAGAGGCCAGATGGGAAGACATTGTATGCAGCTAGAATAGAAGGAGTTCCTTTATCCAGCAGCCTGGCTGTATCTTAATATAAAAGATGTGTGCTAAATCCATGTGTGAAAGGCATGTGTGTTTTGGCCATGGTATGATGCATGAAAGATGGATGTATAAAAGCTCTTTGTGATGGTATAGCTGCAAGTTCTAATTCAGCGTGGATCTGAGGCAAAAACACGTGCATGGGCTGTGGGGATTTCATGGCTTCCTGTGTGCATAGAGGATAAGCATGACCCTGGCTGCTTCATGGGATGCAAATCCAGTGCATGGTACAACGTACCTGTCTTGCTTCCCTATGTCTAAAATGCAGTACCATCCTTTCACATACAGGTGGTTTGCAGCTGTGAAGAACAAAAGACTTCTGTGCTTATCTAATTAGACTTCTTATTGAGGAGAGTAAAGCATGTTTTCAGATCAGAATACTCTAAATCTATGGTAGAAGTTTACAGTGTGAGGGAAATGCTTCAGTTCTGTCTAGGAGTAAGGACTGGGGAACAAGTCTCTGTGTGCAGTGCTTGCAGAATTGCATGCAGCTGCAGATCTTTGGCATTGCATTTCTGTGTGCTGGCTTATGAGAAAGCAGTTCCTGCTCGGTGAGCAATTGGCCGTTTCAGTTGTAATCTTCCAATGACTGTTGCCATGGGTGTTTTTCCTATTTGAACAGTAGCTTATGATTCAGGAACCTCTGTCACAGGTTACAATCTGCTTTCTTTCTGTTAAATTAAAGAGACTTGAACCTGACTCTTTCCCTCTGATATGACAACACCACAACCCCTTCACATTCATGTGGCAAGCTGGTGATTCCAAGGCTGATTTTTATTTCTTTCTATCAGTGAAGAAAAGTGATTGCACATTTAATTGCCTTCATAAATAGTAGATTCCTTTTTTTTCTCTGAATTGTTTGTAAGGTTTTAGTCTGAATTTTGAATAATATTGGAAAAGTAACTCAATATGCAGGTTGTTAATATTTTGTGAGCAAGGCTTGTCATTGGTTTTGTTCTTAAAATTTTTGCTGGGAAACCATTCTGTTTTATGAGGGTGGGAAACAGATTAGCATTCTGCCCTCGTGGCACTCTAAATCATCACCAGGATTATAAACCACAGCTCACTGGTAGTTCTCATCTTAGTAAATAGGTATGAAGCAGACTCAGTAATATTAATGGACAAGCTCTGAAGGAAGTTCAGATTCTTCTCACTCTTGTAATATCTCTGATAATATAGCTCCTAGGTGCTGAAGTTTAGTTGCCTCTTTTAAAGAAAGGAAATCTCCTTCTCAAGGAATAGCAGCGGTGAAAGGTCTTCTGGGAGATTAAAGAAGAAGCATCAAGAGAGTTTCATATGATCTTCACTGGCAAGAGAGTTTTCAGACTCCTCCACGTAGCCCTGTTCCCATAGCAATGGCACTGATGCAGTGTCTGACCAGTCCAGCCTGGATGCAGTGTTGGGTTAGATTTCTAGTCCTGGAAGCTTTGCTGAAATACTGTTTATGTGTGTGGAATGTGTATAGGAAAATCCCACCCAAATACCATGAGCAACATAAAAATGCTTGTCTGTAAATTGGCTCTGGCAACATTGGTTGTCACCAATGGTGCACATTGTCATTTAAAGCCAGCTGGGCATTCTTCTAGCTGCTAGGAAGCAGTAGGTAGGGAAGATGTATAAAAATTTGCTCAGGGGCTTTGCTTGCTTCCCCCTTCTTCAAATGAGAACGATGCTCCCCTCCCTGCCTTCTGGGGTGCCCATGGATATCTGTATTTCAGTTACAGCAGATTACAGTTCTGCACGTCTGTGTGCTAGCCAAGAGTCCTGGTGATACATGCCATGCCTGCAGGGCTGCAGAGCCCATTTTCTGCCCAGTGGGGTGTGCAGTTCTGTGTGGCCCTGGGATGTACTCAGCAGCCAGTGCTGGGCAAGCAACGTGAGGATGAAGCTTTCAAACAAAGGAGGGACCAGAAAAGCTCTAATAGATGAGACTTATTTTCCTTATTCTTGATTATAGTTACAATTTTGACTGGTAGTTAAGTTCTTTGTTTCAGAAAGCATTCAGCAGTAGCTGCCTAGATAGAGAAATGGGCAAAGTCAGGTGTGTTAGCTAGGCCAGGTGTGGTGGACACCATCACAAACCCTTTTCTGATAAGGTCTGTATGCTTTCCTTGGGGTTTTGCTTTGAAGGTTTTTGTAGGCTAGGGAGTATGGCTAAGAAGGCACCTTAGTGCTCCTGCTTTTCCAAACCTTCAATAAAAGATTAGAACACAAAATGTTT